TAGGGAACCTCCGGCTCCAGCTGGAAGATGTGAACACTTGCTTTTGGTGTCTGCGAGGCGACTTCGAAATCGAAGGACCAGAGCGACCAGGACGGGGCCCCAGTCAGTGGGCGATCAGGTCGGTCAACGTGCGGCTGGATGCAGGCTCCTCGATCTTTTCGTTTATGTCGGGCTCATTGGTCGCAGGTTACCACGATCGGGCCTGAGCCCTTGCTGACGGGCGTGGACACGAACGGGCCCTGGAAGGGAGTGCCCTGGTACAAGCTTACCCCGCCCTCCAAGCTTGTGTGAGGGGCGGGTGGTTTGTGCGGCTCTCTCTTGATGGCTGCGCTATGCTGCGGTATTTCTACGGCTTCACCTGCTGCGATTTGCAATTGGGTCTGGAATGCCGACGTTGCGTGTTCACCCCTGCAAAACACATGAGAACTCTTGAGAATCAGCTGATGCCGTGCTGTGCTAAACGTGTTGCAGATGAGTAGGACAAGTTGTGGGTCAGGCTTCACACGAAGACAAGTGGAAGCTCATGAACGGCTGAAGCTTTGCGGCTGGAGGTGCTGTATGGCTTCTGGCCTGCTCTCGTCCTTGTGCTGGGCATGGTCGCCACTGCCTGAGAGTTCTCGACGCAGCCGCTCACTGTCCGCTACCTTCTTGGCTAGGTGGTTCTCGCGATCCTGAACGCGCGCTGGGCTTCGGATGGTTCGTTGGGCTTTCAGGAACTGCATGGAAGGACAGCAGCTTCGATCAAAAGATGGTCCAGATGTCGGCGAGTAGCGGCTGTTCAGGACTGTGGTCGCAGGTGCCCGCTTGGAGTCGTTGGGCCTGCTGATGTGGCGCCTTGTGCCTCGAGCGTTATCAGTGATCAGTCAACCACGTTTCTGTGATCTCTCTCGGTTGTGTCACGCCCGTAAATGCCTCTGCCTTGTAGGCTTGCCTGATGCTTTCGGTGGCGCCGCTGGTTCTCAGCGTCAGGCGGTACAATGCCAAAGAGAAGGAGCCCCGACGGGCCGTGCAAGGGTTTTGAGTTTGAGGCTTCTGGGGCATGATTTGGCATGATGCGTGTCGCTGAAGGTCGCTGAAAAATCATGCGAAATGCATTCTGTTGAACTGTACTCTGCACCCGGACATCGCGTGAGAAAGCTCCCTGTGCCCCGTGCGAAGGAGCCCCATGAGATTTTGCCCTTCTTCCTCTCCGGTGGTGTGGAGATCTTGCTCGTGTACTTCACTCTTTGGACACTTGCCGAGCGCACTGCATTTCCCCATCGTGCTGCATTGCGGATGCAGGGAATTTGTGCAGGGCCGGCTGTTGCCCGTAGTGATGGTGGAATGGTGTAAGTCTTGAGCGAGCATCATCGCAGGACTTGGTGCATCATTACGCTCTACTTCCT